CCATTCGTGCCTCCCCTCATAAACTTACTCATGAGAGACCTGTTTTTCTCCAAAAGAGAATCAGATCCCTCACCGGCAGCTTCCTGATCTGCTCGGGCTCAAGTAGTGCTGAGCCCAGCATCTTGTGTCTCAACCCTGCCTGTGCAGGACAGTCGCTGAGCACATGAAGGCTTGTTTCCTCGTCGTCTCCACATGCCCTGCACTTGGATGTATCGCTACGCCCAAGCTTGTACATGTGGTAGTTTAAGGTGCCATGACCCGTCAGTATGTGTACTGCTGTCCTGGCATCTCTCCTACTCAGAGCCCTTATGCTCCAAGTCAGTTCCCTATTAGGAGTATCTCCCATCAGAGCTCTAGCCTGTCTGCATTTGGACTCATTTCCACTCTCCAGTGTCTTAAATGTTCTCTGCGGAGCCATTCTTTGATCCTCCCCTTTCCTAAACAAAAGGGGATTCCCAGGGCCGGCCCCGGTCCTACCATCGTTAATTCTGAACCCGCTTTTGCCAGCTGGTCCGCACATTCATTACCCTGGATGCCCGAGTGACCCGGCACCCAGGTAACGGTAACTTCTCTCTCTGTCGCCAGTTCGTTCAGAACGCACCTGCACTCCCGAAACCGCGACGTTATTGTCGGAGCCCCCAGCGCCTTGATGGCTGCCTGGCTGTCCGTACAAATCCTGATGTGCCCCCCCGCCTCTACTCTACTCCGCACGGTTTGAGCACAGCTTAGGATAGCCACAATCTCCGCTTGGAATACCGTGGCATAACTGTCGAGAGAAATGCACTCCTTCCATCCCTCTCGACTGCCAAAGAAGCCGGCCCCGGAGCCCGTGTCCGTCTTGGAGCCGTCCGTATACCAGACATCTCCTCCACGCACTCGAGCCACTAAGTTTCCACCTTCCTTTTCCCACTCCTCCGGCCTCGGTATATGCACTTTGAAGCGCCTATCAGAAGCCCGAATAATAGGTATTCTATCCTGTCGCATCTCGAATATCGGATCCAGCAGAACGTCTTCCGGCAGCCTCGTATGCCGGGCTCCCTTCTTTCATTTTAGTTCGCATCTCAAACGGTATGCCGCCATTGCTGCAGCAGCCACCACTACCTGATGAAATGGTTTGATGCCGAACATTACGCCCATCGCCGCCACTGGTGTCGTAACCATAGCACCCAGGGCCCCTTTCAAAATCAGAGCCCTGACATGCTCCAGCGCAACTTTGGCTGTTTTCTTTTGCACCCTAGTCCACCATACTACGGCTGCGTATGTGAGTCTGGGGCGAAGTATGGCTGTGTAGATCCAGTGTATCATACTCGGTTTCAAGCCCCAAAACTGGCCAAAGGTCCTTCTACACATCCAAAAATACTGGCACAAGCTTTTGCACCGATTACGAAGGTGCTCCTCCCAAAGCAGTTTCTTATCCAGGATAACTCCCAAATATTTCACCGATTCGGTCGGAACTAACCTTACTTTTCCAAGAGTGGGTCCCACAATGGTGCCCACCTTGTATTTGCGAAGACAGTAAGACCGGTTTTCAGTGGTATAGGCGTATCGCCTAATGGATTGTGTTCGACTTGGTTAAAAGTTATGAAACCAATTTTGTTAAAAAAATATGTTTTATTTTTCTTGTCAGAGAATCAGAGTATATGTACAAGTTGTGTTTGAGTTAATTGATTGCGCCAGAGGCGCTTTCTCGGTAGAAGTGTAAGACCGAGAATTAAAAGAAAAATTGACGGCGCGGTAAAAATTACCGGCCGCGTCTTAGTATATTGAACGGGTCCTAAAAAGGACGGTTCAATTGAATCTGCTCGTTGTAGCCCTTTCCCGGTGTCGGTGGAACTCCGTTCGGGAAGTGGTCTTCCGTCTGACAACTGCTCTCTGAGCAGGCTCTCGGTGGCGAAGTCTGTACGGCCACGGAACGAGTCTCTGGTGTGCTGGTAACTGCAACCGTCTCGGCTCTCGATATTACAGATTGCTCCGTGTATCGAGGAGAGAGAGGCCTCCGAATTCGGATGTCGCCCTGTACCTAGAGTGCCCTTGGTGGTCGAGTCAACCGGACGCAGAACTCTAGTGGAATTAATTTCCAAGCTAGAGACTGAGGAGG